CACACATCACAAGGAAACTGCCCAAGTTCCCTTTCAGTACCATGTGGACCACATGGATTAAAAATAGTCCCAAGGCCAGCTATGCCTGGATGTAGACTGTATTGGGGAATATCAGAGTGACTGAGAAGAAGGAAGGCCTGGCAAACAATAGAATTGTGGTTTCTCTAAAGCCCACAGAGATCTGAACACATCGGGGAGGGGTAACATAGTCTCAAATACAAGGAAAAATAGTGCTGTTCATTGAGACGGGGCGGGGGGGTAGGGGAAGAGAGGAAGAGGAAAGGAGAGAGTGAAGGGAAATGAAAAAAGAGAAGAGGAAAGAGGGAGGAAGGGGTGGGAAAGAGAGTGGAGGGGAGGGGAGGAGAGGAGAGAGTAGGGCAGGGGAGGGGAAAAGAGGGTGGTAAGGGAGGGATGGCCAATGCGCAACTGGGCTAGGAAAATTTGCTACGACATCTAAAGGTGACTCTAGAGGAGCTGCAGGTGGAGAAACAGGACGCTTCCCACACAGAGGAACAAGGGCAAGTGTGTTGGTGTTTCACCTGAGAATCCCAACGGGCATTTGAGGAATAATGAAGCAATCTAAATCATTACTGAGACACCCAAATAAATAAATAAATAAATAACATTACAGACAAGCAAAGACAATTACCCCTCGTGAATGCAAGTTCAGACCACAAATAAGAAAACACTGAAAGATCAAATTCAGCAACATACCACAGTTATAACGTACCCTTATCTGGTGAGGTTTATATCATAAACAAAAGAGTTGCTTCACATTTGACCATCAATCTTGGCATAACACCAAATCAGCTTAATAAAGAAAACCCAGTCTTAATAGGGTTAGGAAAAGCATTGGATAAATTTTAAGATCTAATCATGATGATAATACTAAAAAACACCGCTCAGTCAAGAAGGAATTTAAGAGAGCTCGGCAAACTTGATAAAGGGCATCTCTAGTGCACCTGCGACTGTGATCTCACCGGAGATGAGCGCCTGAGAGGTGCTGCCCTGAGATCGGGGCCGAGGGAGGGTGGAAGACATCCCGCAAGTCCAGTCTGGTGAAGCTGAGAAAAAGGGAGGAGGCAAACCGACAGGGGAGGTGCTTTCTACCTATGGGCAATATGACCGTCTACATAGAAAATCCACGTCGACTCCAGGAAAGCTCCTAGGACTAAGAGAGGCTGCTAAAATTGCGGGCTGCAAGGCTAAAGCTCCGTTTCTAAACACAGGCAATAAGTAACTGGAAATTGAGATTTAAAAATTGGTTCCATTTAGGAAGCTGGGAGACAGCTATGCAGAGCAGGAGAGCCTGGGTTAAGGTCGCCAAAACCCACTTTAAGAGGGTGGGAGGAGCTGTAGCCAGCCAGCCTAGACAAACTAGCGAGCTCCAGGCCAGGGAGAGAGTGTCTCACAAATACAAAGTAGACTGCGTGTTGAAGAGTGATACCTAAGGTTGACCTCTGACTTCTACGCATGTGTGTATATACATGTGACCCCTACATACACACACACACACACACACACCCCACACACACACATAGAGTCAGTCAGTCCCATTTAAAGTAACAATGAAAATATGAAATAAATACAAACCTAACAATGTGTTAGATCTATAATCTGAAAGTTACAAAAACCACTTAAACACCAACTCTAAATAAACAGCCTGGGAGAATATTGATGGACTCCAAGATCAGGCAGGTAAGAGAACTGTTCTCTGAACTGGTCTGCTAGTTAACAGGAGTCCATCGAACGCACAGCCAGACACTCTTCATCAACCGAAAAGGCGATTTCCAATTTACAGGAAAAAATGAAGGAACTAGAACAGCTAAACTGATTTTTAAGAAAAAACAACAACAACTGGATAAATTCCACATAATTAAAGATGTATAAATCTACAGTAACTAAAACAGGTGACCCGGGAAACGAATGAATACGATGTCAACAATGTCAACGCCACAGAGAAGAATCCAGAAACAAGTCACACAGGTACCAACTGGTGTTCTGACCAGCACACACGATTCTGCAAAAACTGGGCACTCCTATCAAAATATAAAGAGAACTTCTAGATGTGCCTCACGCTTCCGTGAAAACCAACTCAGGCTGGATCACAGGCTTCAGTGCAAACCTATCACCGTCAGGCTTCTACGGAAGATCGCTGTGTCCCAGACAAAGTGACAACATGCAGGAATGGTGGCCCAAGGGTCTTCTGTGAGATGAGTCAGAACTGAAGCCCACACAGGCTGGGTGCAGTGTGTATGACAGTTACGGTCTCCTGCCAACCCCAAGGCCACTGGTGGATGGGGGACAAAGGGGCTGCACCTTTGGGGCAACAGTTACTATTGATTATCCGGTGGGCAGGATCTATGATCACCTGGTAGAGGTGCCGCTGGGCACATCTGTGAGAGAGTTCCTAGCCTGTGTTAACTGCCAGGGGAAGACCCAACCTCAGCGTGGGCAGCTCCCTCCCAGGAGTCCTGGTCTGGACAGACAAGGAGAAAGTGAGCTGAGCACCAGCATCCGTCTCTCTGCTTCCTGACTGTGGGTACCATGTGACCATCATGCTCCTGCTGCCATGCATCCCCCACAATGATGGAGGGTACCTCAAACTGTGAGGCCAAGTCAACCCTTCCTTAAGTTGCCTTTCTCAGAGTATTTTAAATCACAGCAACAGGAAGAACAACCAGTATACATGGGGTAAAATACGGGAACTATCTGCTTTCACACAGGAACACATCTGATCCCCCAAATACATTGTACTGTAATCCCAGTACTTGGGATGGGGGAGGTAGGAGAATCAAGAGTTCAAGGCAAGCCTCCGCTACATAGGAAGGCTACACGGGACCCTGCCCCCAAACAACCAATAAATCGCATGCATCGCACCACTGGGAAGGAGTCCAAAGACTCCATAGTGAATTCCTTTTTCTACCTGGTAGCCCATCAGAAGACAAGAGGCTGCTGAGGATGGGGTTGGTTGGAGGTCTGAATGCAAAGGGGCGGGACTAGAAAGCTGAGGTCATGTGAGTGTCCTGTATCAACCACTGTAGCGACTGTGGATTGAAAATGCATGTCTAAAATGTGATGCTGTGTTCCACGGAAGGGAAATGACAGCCAGCACCAGCTATTGCAAGCATATCAACACTGAGAAAAGAGTCTCTCTCTCTCTCTCTCTCTCTCTCTCTCTCTCTCTCTCTGTGTGTGTGTGTGTGTGTGTGTGTGTGTATGTGTGTGTGTGTGTGTGTGTGTGTGTGTGTGTGTGAAGGCAAGATGTTGCACTTTGTTTTCTGAGACAGGGTTTCTCATTGGCCTGGAGGAATAGCCAGGTAGGCTAGGTCAGCAGGTCCCGAGGACCAGACAGAACTTGGATTGCAAGCGTAAGCCATCAAGCCTGGTTGGGTGTTTTGGTCAGCATGGGTTCTGGGGTACTGAACTTAGGTCCTCATGCTTGCACAGCAACCGAATCATCTCCTCTGCTCCCAGGGAAGAGATTCCTATCCATAAGAGAAGAGAACCATGTCCATGATGGTGGTGGGATTATGGGACATCCTTCCTGGAAGTCTTCAGGGTAGGGGGCGTGTGTGAAGTCCATGGACCCTGTGCTGGAGAAGCCACATATGTATGCTGCTGTGGGCAGTCCCCACCGGGTTTTCCTTGTCACTGCCAACACAGCACGGAAGCCACTTCCAGCAGTCCTCTCACTGAATGAGTGACACTTCTAATACCAGGACCCACCTGTCCAAAGTGTGGCTGACTCTTGGCCCAGAAAATCCAGGCACGCAATACAGCGGTTAGTGCTTCAGACCCCTAAGTTTGGCGCTGCTCTGTATGCAGCGACAGAAACAAGGGCAATGTGGGTCTGGGGAGGTGGCTCAGTGGTTAAAGAGTTGGCTGAGCAAGCATGAGACCTGGTTTGCATCCCCAGGACTCACATAAACATAGAGTGGGTTTGGCAGCTTGCCTACTTTCTGGCCTTGGAAGGCAGAGACAGGGGATCCCCAGAGCAAACAGGGTAGCCAGACTGGTGAGTTCTGGGTTTGATTGAGAGTCCTGCCTCAGTGAATACGATGGAAGAGTGATGGGGGATGATTCCAATATCAACCTTGGGCCCCCACGTGCATGTAAAAATATGCACACACACACACACACACACACACACACACACACACACACCACACATACAGACACACACATGGAAAAATGAAGCAAGGTCAGTATGGGTTGAAAGAAAAATAAAATGGGAAAGGAGAAAGGGTGAAGAAAGAAGGGTCAGAGGACTCTGGGGTCCCTGGAAAGCTCACATTAAAGGGTCACTTTGGAATCTATTCATTTCTGCCAGGCTGGAAACACTAGAAGGGAGAGCTCCCTGAGGCTGTTCTTGGACCTTCACTTTCCCTTCCCTTTCTTCCCCCCACTTCCTTCCTGGCTGCCATCAGGAGGTGAACAGTTCTGCTCCCCCACATAGCCCACACTGATGTGTTCTGTCTCACCATGGCCCAGAAACACCACAGTCAAGCTCTCGTGGGCTGAAACCCCTCCCAGGGGACTTTGTCCAGTGTTCTGTCACCGCTATGGAAATCCCTCGGCCCCGCTGTTCTCTGCGGCAGTCTGGGTGACTCTGCTCCAGCATTCCATCAACTCCAATTACTGCCTGCATAGTTCCGGCATGCCTTCCTGCCACATGTTCACCTCTCTAAAATAAGCCAAGGAGCAGATGTTCCCTAAACGCATTTGGCGTCATTTAAGTAAGAGTCATTTCCTGAGGTTTCCAGGCGGTGTTTGCACCTTCACTTTGATCCCTGTCAGGTGGGGGAGTCCTGTCTTTTGTCCCACAGTCAGGGCCTCTCTGGGCCTCGGGGAGGACGCAGAGCATCCAACATTAATGATGACTTCCCTTGGTTGAGCCAACGAGGAAGCTGCTTCCGGTCTGTGAAGGTCAATTTTGGTTGTCAGCTAGACTGTATCCGGGATGAAAACTAGGAAACATGCCTCTGGTGAGTCTTAAAGAACAAACAAGATGAGAGAAGATTTTATCCCAGGGTGGATAGCTTCTGGAGACCACCCAGACCTAAAGATGAGTGAGCAGAGGCTGCTTTTTTTTGCCTGCCTGCCTTTGATTTTTGCTGGTAAGTGTATCTACTCTGCGGCTGCCTCCACCAATGTTGTAGCCAGCCTTTGCTGACATTTGTTTCTCTGTCCTTTCAACAGGCACTAGAGACCAGACCTTCTCCAGGAAGCCTCCAGGAATCCGTCAGTGACAGGCTAGGACTGCTGAGACCTCCAGTTTCGTGGGCTGAGCAGCTACTGGGTTGTCAGTCCTTTCTGTGTACAGACAGCCATTGTTGTATCTGTATCTAATAAATGCCCCTTGCGATTTAGATGTATTCTGTTGGTTCTGTTTCTGGAGAGAACCCTCACATAAACACCTTCCCTCCTCGTTACACAAACTCTTGAGTCATAGTAAAATAAGAAACCAAATAAACACAATCCTTTTGCTTGAGCTCCTTGCCTCTGGAGCCACAGCATCCCACACACTGGCTCTGCCTCTCTATCCACAGTCCTGGATGGACGCCCGTTGTCACCCTGGGCTTTATTAAAACATCACCCATTCTTCTAGGCCTCTTGTGTTCCCAGAGCCTGGCTTCCTGTTCTCTTAATCATTGTCATTAGAAATGACTCAAATGTTTGAGGACAATGGAACCAAAAATGCCCTCAAGAGGGACGAGGAAAGAGCTGTAGGCAGTAAGGCCTTCCAGGCAGTGTTTCTAAGGAGGGAGTGACGGTGGCAGGAGAGGTCTTCATCAGTGAGGTGACGTCACCCTGGCCCGTCTGGAGAAAAGACAGGCTTCGGTCCATGGCTCCTGGGAGAATGTGGGCCATGGCCTGTATTCTGCAGAGCTGGCTGGATTCCAGCCTCATCCTCATCCCAGTCTTCCTGATGGAAAGTACCACCTCCTACCGCTCAAAGTAAGACCAGGGAGACTTTTTCTCAAGATCTGTACTCCAAAGGGCAGTCCTTGAAGCAAGCTCAGCCTGGCTGGAGTGACAGGTGCTAGGGTCTTTTCTGGTTTATGCTGAAAAGGGATAGGACTGGGCATGGTGGTACATGCCTTTAATCCAGCATTTGGGAGGTAGGTGGATCTCTGTGAGTTTGAGGCTAGCCTGGTCTACGTGAGGGCAGCGTTTCACTAAAGAATCACACCCCTGCCCAGGTCCGGGTCTGTTCTCAGTGTTAAACTACACGAGGCCCACACCCCTGTGTCACTGCCCCTATCCGCAGACCCAACACAAGAAGCTCTGCCATGCCAGGGCACTTAGATAAGGAAGCAATGGGAGGAAGACAAAACCAGAGGAGCAGCGTTAGATGGGAGCGGGAGGGTGGAACCATGGATACATGTGAAGGTGGTGCAGAGACAGGGCTGTGACATCCACCAGAGGTGGATTTCTCCAGGTGAAGGGAGGAAGAGGCTAGGCAGGGCTGAGCGGTCCTCCACGGTGCCTAGGGTGGGTCATGTGGGTCACGGATGCCATACAGCACGTGGCAAGCCTTGCTTCCAGCTATTCTGAACTTTGAAGCTGGCAGAGTCACATCTGCGAGCTCTATGCAGACACTGCAGGACCGGAAATGAAAAATCCAGCATGGAGACTGCAGCTCTCACATTCTAAGACTTAACCCTGGACACGCTGAGTAGCCGTACACCAAGGATTCATAGCAAAAGAGAGGCGAGGAGGGGCAGACAATCTATCGGTGACCTGCGGCAAACAGCACTGCAACAAATTGGCCTTCTTCCCCCACACCAATGATATGAGATTACAAACTGATTCCCATAGGAAAACCCATTAGGTCAATTGCTAAGTTACAATTCCCCAGAAAACTTATTTCAACTTCAGACTTTGATTTACACGTAATGAACTCAATTTCGTCTCTGGTAATTGCCTGCTTGTGCATCATGTACGCATCTATGAACATATGCATTTGAGCACGTGTGTACGCATGCACACGCGCCTGCACGTCTATACTCGTCTCTGATCCATGCATGGTGGCCTCTTGCTACTCAGACAGGTTCTCTCTGCATTCATGTAAAGATTCAAGGTTCTTGCCTTCATGGAGCTGAGAGTCCCGTGGGAAAAGTTCAAAATGTGGAAAAACGTTTTGGACCCTGAATGGTAAATGCTGCCAGGAAGGGAAGCCAGAATTTCCTGAAGAATGACTCTATGGCAGAAGGAGAGGAGGTAAAAAGGGGGAGACGGGAAGAGAACTTGAGGAAACTGGATGGTCGAGATGTGGGAAGGACAGAGACGGAGAGCAAGAAAAGAGATATCTTGATTGAGGGAGTCAGTATGGGGTTAGCAAGAAACCTGGCACTTGAGAAATTCCCAGGAATCTACAAGGATGACCCCAGCTAAGAACAAGGCAATGGCGGCAAGGGTGCCTGAACTGGCCTTGCCCTGTAGTTAGATTGATGACTATCTTAAATGTCACCATAGAGCCTACATCCAGCAGCTGATGGAAGCAGAGACCCACATTGAAGCACTTGGCTGAGCTCCAAAGTCCAGTCGAAGAGTGGGAGGAGTGAGAATATGAGCAAAGAGGTCAAGATCATGATGGGGACACCCACTGAAACAGTCTGCCTGAGCTAATGGGAGCCCACCAACTCCAGCCTGAGAGGAAAGGAACCAGCATAGGACCAAACTAGGCCCTCTGAATGTGGGAGACAGTTGTATAGCTGGGGTAGACTGTGGGGCCACTGGCAGTGAGACCAGGATTTATCCCTACTGCTTGTTCTGGCGTTTTGGAACCCATTTTCTTTGCAGGGATACCTTGCACAGCCTAGATATAGTGGGGAGGGCCTTGGTCCTGCCTCAAAGCAATGTGATAGACTTTGTTGACTTCCCATGGAAAACCTTACCCTCTCTGAGGAGTGGATGGGGGCTCTGATGGGGGGAAAGTAGAGGGAGAAGGAGGAAGGGAGGGAGTGGGAACTGGGATGAGTATGTAACATGAAAAAAGATAGGTTTTTTAAAAAAAAAAATTTTAAAAAGAATGACCTTAATGAGGAGGTCAATCCATAGCTAGATCATAAAGTCAAAATTGCTAAATTTAAAATAAAACTCCAATGTGGACTCTGACTAAGCCTTGTAGTGTTGGGCTCACCCACAAAGTGAGAATAACCAGGCTGGCAAATAATGCTATTCCTGGTCTCCTTCAGAGTTGGGGCACAGGCCGCCTTGCTGCAGATGTCCAAACAGTTCTGTAAATCTGTAGGGACTCCTGTTCCATCCCAAGTTCTCATCCAGGAGCTCACAGGCGCTCTGCTCAGCACCCCCAGTGTAACCCCTTAGACATAGCTTCCTTAGCCCATAAGCCCCTTTGCTTTTCTGCGGTACACTGTTTTTTATTTTTATTTATTTATTTATTTTATTTTGAGAAAGGTCTTATGTAGCCTTGTTCCTCCTGCCTCCACATCCTGAGTGCTGGGATTTCAGATGTACAATGCTATACCCAGTTTATTCTCCGCTGTACATCCTAAAGTCCCCCCCCCACCCCACTGGACGGAAGTCTGTTGGCCACACTCTGTCTCCTGGACACTCATTACTCACAGGAACACACAGCAGGGAGACTGTTTCCCACTCTCCAAACCTCTAGCCTGGGGCTGCCGAGCTAGGCCTTTCCTCACGCTCACTGCTCTCTCTAGCTCCCCTCTGAGGCATCCCTATGTCACCTAGAACTGACTTCCATACCCCACAAGGCATCTTTGAGCCACCAGGCTGGCACAGCATGGTGATCAGCTGATCAACAAACCTGTCCTTTTTCACGGGAGGTTAAGATCAGGGTCAAGTCAAAGGCACCCTTAGGTCTACAACTCCCAAGGCCTTTTTGATGGAGTTGTGGAACACTGAGCATAGTAACTATTGTATGTCTATCAGAGCAGATATGACTCTCAAGAGAGTCTCTAGAAGGCCCCTGATGGCATTCCTCTCTAGAGGGCGGGGTGAGATTCTGGCCACTCCCCCCTTTTCCCCTCCCTGCTGTTTACACTCTGCCTCAGCTACACATGGTCCTGGGTCGCAGGAGGTACTATATATATATATATGTGTGTCGAAGGGTAACTGAAGGTATCAGGACACCCCACTTATGCAGCCATAGGGAGATTGTCACCTCCAGTGGGATAGATGTTTGAGTGGTGCGGCTGCTCTGGGGCCCTGCATGATCCTGTAAATGACGTCTCACCCACGTTCTGCTAGTAAACCCAGTCAGCTCATCGATTCCCCAAGCTAGACTACAGGGGAATCATTACTTCGGTCCGTTGTTGGCATGTTTTATGGGATAGGTAGATACTGGTCCGTGTCTCGTCAGGTAAAGTTCACACAATAGATAGTGACTGTGATCAAGGCAGGGCTCCCTATCCCCAGTGACACCATCACGGCTAGCTGACATTTCAAGTTACTCCCGCTACAGTGCCTTTCCCGTTTCCACCATGAATCTAACAAAGTAATTTATTTTTGACTTCTGACTCTGGGGTGGAATTGACGACAGACACTTAAGCTGTGACCTTCACAATTCTCAGATTGTCTCCATTTCCTCTGAGTCGCGGGCCAACAACGAACGTCGGATGTTGCTGCCAGAGTCATCTTCCAAGTTTTGATCTAGCAAGACCGTGGCTCTTAGGGCATCAGTCAACATGGGAATTCATCTATATTATACTTGCCACCCAACCTCTGCTTCATCTTATCCACAGGGCGCCTGCTTATGGATGGATGGATAGATGGATGAATGAATGAATGGAATTCAAGTCCCGGAAGGAATGTAGAACTAGCAATGCAGTAACCTTGCCCACAAAGGAAGCAGGCTGGTAGGACAGTGTAATGGTTTGAATGGGATGTCCCTCATGAGTCTCTGCCATTGAAATACTTGGTCCCCAGTTGGTGGCTGCTTACGGAGGATTAGGAGCTGTAGTCTTGCTGACGCTGGGGGTGGGCTTAGGGGTTTCAGAAGACTCAAGTTCCGTTTCTAGTTAGTTCTCTCTGCTTCCTGCTTGTGGACCGAGACATGAGTTCTCAGCTATTGCTTCAGCACCATGCCTGCCTGCCTGCTGCCACACTGCCCGCCCTGACGGCAATGAACTCCTAACCCTTTGGAGTCACAAGCCCCAACAAACCCTCCCTTCTACACATTGCCTTGGTCATGATCTTTTAGCACAGCAATAGAAAAGTAACTAAGATGGCGGGAAGACACTCACTGCAGGTGACACAGGGTTCTGCATGCTGCCTCTCGAGACTCTAGTTTGTGTTCCTTCTGGGGACGCTCAAAGTCTACCCTCGACCGCATGCTCAGAGCCTTGCATTCCCTCACTGCTCCTTATTTTTCGGCAGTGTTTCTGTT